GCGGCTGTCTGAAACGGAAGCAACAACGACATTAGTACGAGTGGAAAACAGAAAGCAGAAACTTGGAGAGCACTTACCGAGGGGGCTGGAGGCGTCGTGAAGTCTCGCGGCTGTCTGAAACGGAAGCAACATCGACATTAGTACATGTGGAAAACAGAAAGCAGAAACTTGGAGAGCACTTACCGAGGGGGCTGGAGGCGTCGTGAAGTCCCGCGGCTGTCTGAAACGGAAGCAACAACGACATTAGTACATGTGGAAAACAGAAAGCAGAAACTTGGAGAGCACTTACCGAGGGGGCTGGAGGCGTCGTGAAGTCTCGCGGCTGTCTGAAACGGAAGCAACAACGACATTAGTACATGTGGAAAACAGAAAACAGAAACTTGGAGAGCACTTACCGAGGGGGCTGGAGACGTCGTGAAGTCTCGCGGCTGTCTGAAACGGAAGCAACAACGACATTAGTACATGTGGAAAACAGAAAACAGAAACTTGGAGAGCACTTACCGAGGGGGCTGGAGACGTCGTGAAGTCTCGCGGCTGTCTGAAACGGAAGCAACAACGACATTAGTACATGTGGAAAACAGAAAACAGAAACTTGGAGAGCACTTACCGAGGGGGCTGGAGGCGTCGTGAAGTCTCGCGGCTGTCTGAAACGGAAGCAACAACGACATTAGTACATGTGGAAAACAGAAAACAGAAACTTGGAGAGCACTTACCGAGGGGGCTGGAGGCGTCGTGAAGTCTCGCGGCTGTCTGAAACGGAAGCAACAACAGCATTAGTACATGTGGAAAACAGAAAGCAGAGATGGAAGATAGCTCACCGAGGGTTCTGGAGCGTTGTTGATGTCTTCGTGAAGGCTAAGACAAGAAGACACACACATGAGAACATTAGGCATGCGACGACACAAGAAAGCAAAGAAGATTGCAGCTTACAACAGGTCCTAGCTGCTGCGTCCCCGTGTTGCCTCCCCCATTCTTGCTGTACCTAGAAGAGGGGCGGCACAAATTTAATCCTTTGCTGTTGCATCCCCGTGTTGCTCCCGCCCTGGTGTTGCCTCCCTTGTTCTTGCTGTACCTAGAAGAGGGGCGGCACAAATTTAATCCTTTGCTGTTGCGTCCCCGTGTTGCTCCCGCCTTGCTGTTGCCCCTTGATGCTTGCGGTACCTAGAAGAGGGGCGGCACAGAAATTATGTTTTGAAGGCGCCTCTCCACCTCCCGCTGCTCCTCGTGTGTTGATCCTTTGCCCCCCAGGGGGCAAAGCGCCTCACTTGAAGGTGCTGCTCCTCGTGTGTTGGTCCTTTGCCCCCCAGGGGGCAAAGCGCCTCACTTGAAGGTGCTGCTCCTCGTGTGTCGATCCTTTGCCCCCCAGGGGGCAAAGCGCCTCACTTGAAGGTGCTGCTCCTCGTGTGTTGATCCTTTGCCCCCCAGGGGGCAAAGCTCCTCACTTGAAGGTGCTGCTCCTCGTGTGTTGATCCTTTGCCCCCCAGGGGGCAAAGCGCCTCACTTGAAGGTGCTGCTCCTCGTGTGTTGATCCTTTGCCCCCCAGGGGGCAAAGCGCCTCACTTGAAGGTGCTGCTCCTCGTGTGTTGATCCTTTGCCCCCCAGGGGGCAAAGCGCCTCACTTGAAGGTGCTGCTCCTCGTGTGTTGATCCTTTGCCCCCCAGGGGGCAAAGCGCTTCACTTGAAGGTGCTGCTCCTCGTGTGTTGATCCTTTGCCCCCCAGGGGGCAAAGCGCCTCACTTGAAGGTGCTGCTCCTCGTGTGTTGATCCTTTGCCCCCCAGGGGGCAAAGCGCTTCACTTGAAGGTGCTGCTCCTCGTGTGTTGATCCTTTGACCCCCAGGGGGCAAAGCGCCTCACTTGAAGGTGCTGCTCCTCGTGTGTTGATCCTTTGCCCCCCAGGGGGCAAAGCGCCTCACTTGAGGTTGCTGCTCCTCCTCCTGCTGCTCCTCCTCGTGTTGATCCTTTGCCCCCCAGGGGGTCAAAGCGCCTCACTTGAAGCTCCACTGCTGCCCATCCTTGCTGCCCCGGTCTTCTGCCCAGTCTTGCTTGAGGACCAGCTGTGCAATTTTGCTCACTGCAACGCTTGCAGTGAGGAACATGCAAAAGAGTTTTGAGACATCTCCCAAAACCCTGGTTTTGCTCACTTCAGCTAAGCTGCAGTGAGGAGGAAGAGAGAGAGAGAGTGAGTGAGTTTCGAAACTCACAAGAGAAGGGAGCGAGTTTTGAGATGTCTCTCAAAACTCACTCAGAGAAGAGAGGAGGAACGGAACACTGCAGTGCACTGCAGGACACGACAAAACTGGATTTGAGGCGCCTCAAACCAGCATACAAGGTCCTCACCCGTCACACTCACTCTGACTCTCACTCTCACTCTGACCCTCATTCTCACTCTCACCCTCGCTCTCCCCTCACTCTCCTCTCACTCCCGCTCTCCTCACGTCCTCTCTATGCTCCTCCCAGCAGGTCGCAGCCGTTTCCCTACGCTGCTGCTGCTGTTGCTACTGCTGCTCCCCTGCTGCTGCTGCTGCTGCTGCCACCGCTGCTGCTGCTGTAAACCCTGGTGTCACTGCGGGCCTCTCTTCTGCTCCCACCACTGCTGCCACGGCTGGTATTTTCTTCTGCTGCCAGCCACTGCTGCTGTCAGCTGTAGTGTCATTGCGGACCTCTCTCCTTCTCCCACCGCTGCTGCCACCGCTGGTGTCACTGCTGGTCTTCTCTTCTGCTGCCAGCCACTGCTGCTGTCAGCTGTAGTGTCATTGCGGACCTCTCTCCTTCTCCCACCGCTGCTGCCACCGCTGGTGTCACTGCTGGTCGATTCTTCTGCTGCCAGCCACTGCTGCTGCCAGCTGCAGTGACATTGCGGACCCTCTCCTCCTCCCACCGCTGCTGCCACCGCTGGTGTCACTGCTGGTCTTCTCTTCTGCTGCCAGCCACTGCTGCTGCCAGCTGTAGTGACATTGCGGACCTCTCTCCTCCTCCCACCGCTGCTGCCACCGCTGGTGTCACTGCTAGTTCTCTTCTGCTGCCAGCCACTGCTGCTGTCAGCTGTAGTGTCATTGCGGACCTCTCTCCTTCTCCAACCACTGCTGCCACCGCTGATGTCACTGCTGGTCTTCCCTTCTGCTGTTAGCCACTGCTGCTGCCAGCTGTACTGTCACTGCCACCGCTGATGTCACTCTGCATCCCCTTCTGCCGCCAGCCTCTGCTGCCGCCAGCCACTGCTGCTGCCAGCCACTGCTGCCACCAGCCAATGCTGCTGCCAGCTGCAGTGTCATTGCAAAACTCTCTCCTGCTCCCCACTCCCGCTGCCACCGCAGGTGTCACTACTTGCATCCCCTTCTGTCGCCACTGCTACTGCCACCGGGTAATGTCACTGCGGGCCTCTCTCCTGGTCCCACTGCCGCTGCCACCACTGGTATCACTGCAGGCCAACACAGCATCAGAGCTGTTTGTTGTCGTCCCATCACTCCACATCACAGCACCAGCAGCAGCACGCAGGAGGCAGTAACAGCTCGCAGACTGCTGGTGCCGATTTCGTGTCCCCTCCGTGCCTTCCCTGCTGCAGCTCAGGGCAGTCCAGCCAGCCGTCCGATTTCTTTCCTCTTGGGATCCCTTCCAGCCGTCTCCTCAGCTCCCCTGCTCCACCGCTGCAGCTCACAGGATTGCGGACCTCTCTCCTGCTCCCACCGCTGCTGCCACCGCTTTTCTTCTTCTCATGCCAGTCCAGCTGTCTCCTCTTCTCATGCCAGTCCAGCTGTCTCCTCTGCTCATGCCTGTCCAGCTGTCTCCTCTGCTCATGCCTGTCCAGCTGTCTCCTCTGCTCATGCCAGTCCAGCTGTCTCCTCTGCTCCCCCGCTGCAGCTGACTGCGTTGAACGGCTTTCACTCCTCCCAAAACCAGCAGCGGCGCCAGGAAAGCGTGGAGGAGATGGGAGGATTCAGCAGGAGCTTTCAGCTTGCAAGACGCCGCTGCCGCTGCCACTGGCGCTGCTGCCTTTGCCATCGCTGCTGCGACTGAAGCTGTTGCATTTGCCGCTGCTGCTGCCACTGCTGCTGTCACTGCCTCACTCCTCTTGCTCTCGCTGCTACCTCTGCCCATGCTGCTCCATCTGCCCAGCCGCAGCGAACAGAGAGTTGCAATTCCATGGAGATGGTTAGTTGTAGCGTAGAGGTTACAAGTTGGCAGAGAGAATTGACAGAGGGAACGATAACGAATGCAGAGAAGGCAAGTTGCAATCCCACGAGGAACGTCAATCAGAGTAGAGTCTACAAGTCGACTAAGTAAATTGACAGCGAACACAATGAAGTAAAAACGTTGGTGTTTTGTCGTCACGACTCCGGTTGCTTACTTGTTTGTCTGGTCGCTGCTGCAGCTGCAGGTGCTGCTCCTGTCGCTGCTGCTCCATCTTCCCACCCATGTGTTTACAGCTTGCACAGTGACCAGAAAATTCCACCTGGTCGTTCCCTGCACAGTGACCAGAAAATCGCAATCCCACAAGTAGAGTTTATGAGTACAGCGTGAATTGACAGAGAGAAGAATAACGAATGCAAGCCATAAAGACAAAGACAGGACGTGTTCTGTTACATACTTGTTTCTGCAGTTGAGGTTTCTACAGTTGCTCCTGCACCAGTTGCCTCCAACACAGCAGCACTACCCCACCTCGGCATCCGGGGCCTCAGCTGCCCCAGCCACCCCTTGTCACCCCTGCACAAGGCACAGAGAGTAGCAACCGCTACTATAGAGAAGGCCAGCTGGGTAGAGCGTACAGGCACAGCTGCGAAATGATCAAGAGAAACAACATGCCACGCAAAACGGCCAAGACAACAGGAAAGGCACCCTTAAAAAACGAAGTGATGCGCATCAGGAGGAAGGAACGGGGATGTCCTGTCGCTGTCATGACTCAACTTACTTGCTGCTCCAGTCGCTGCCACTCCTGTTGCTGCTGATACTCCAGTCACTACTGCTCCAGTCGCTGCTGCTGATGGACCAGCGCCATGACGCCATGGACCAACGCCATGACGCCATGGACCAACGCCATGACGCCATGGACCAACGCCATGACGCCATGGACCAACGCCATGACGCCATGGACCAACGCCATGACGCCATGGACCAACGCCATGACGCCATGGACCAACGCCATGACGCCATGGACCAACGCCATGACGCCATGGACCAACGCCATGACGCCATGGACCAACGCCATGACGCCATGGACCAACGCCATGACGCCATGGACCAGCGCCATGACGCCATGGACCAACGCCATGACGCCATGGACCAGCGCCATGACGCCATGGACCAACGCCATGACGCCATGGACCAGCGCCATGACGCCATGGACCAACGCCATGACGCCATGGACCAGCGCCAGCTGCAGCTGCTGCTGCTGCTGCTGCTGCTGCTGCTGCTGCTGCTGCTGCTGCTGCTGCTGCTGCTGCTGCTGCTGCTGCTGCTGGGAGGGTGGGCGAGGACTGCCAAAGCGTCATGGACTGCCATAGCGCCATGGACTGCCATAGCGCCATGGACTGCCATAGCGCCATGGACTGCCATAGCGCCATGGACTGCCATAGCGCCATGGACTGCCATAGCGCCATGGACTGCCATAGATTAACGCCCTGCACAATGAGCCACAATCGCACAGGGAAGGTTTATCAGTAAGTCAATAGAGCAGATTGACAGAGTGAAGAAGACCGAATGCAAGGAGGAAAAAGGACAGTGGAAAAACGACAAAGAAAACAAATGACTTGCGCGAATGAGGAGGAAGATGGGAGGGCGAGGAGAAGAATGGTAGAGCTTCAGCTACTTACTTTCTTCTCAGGTCACTCCTTCTCAAGTCGCTGCTTCTCCAGTTGCTGCTTTTCCACTCGCCGCTTCCCCAACACAGCAGCACCGCTCCAACACAGCAGCACCGCCTCCAATTCGCTCTAGCTGTTGGCGAGAGATTAGCCAACGAACCATTAGCTCCAACGCAAACCAGTAAACTAGCTCCCGCTCCAGCTCCACTTCACGGCAGCACCGCTCCAGCTCTTGGCGGGAGATAGGCTTCAACGCTGCTCTTCGCGGGAGATAGGCTTCAACGCAGATCATGAAAGTAGCTCCCGCTCCTGCACGGACAGAGACAGTTCAAATCGCAACGAGCGAATGAGATACGGACGCCATCATAGAAACGAGATATACGCCAAAATTGAACGCAAGCGAAACGCGAACGCCAACAGAGCAGAAAAATAGCGACTGAAGAGTTTAACTTGGAAGATATCGCGTTGCCTGAGAGCGCGCATATCAAGTTGGACGAAAACTCACCGACGATCATCCGTAGTAGTAGCGGCGCGAACGTCGACGTATTCGCGTCCATGAAAACGGCCACTTCGATAGCTCTCGCATCGACGAGTTCACAGGATCCGCATTTTCGCAGGGACGTCGCGAGCGTCGCACGGTCGTCGAACGGTCGTTGCACCAGGACGAAGCTCCTTCGCGAGCTGTTTACTGTCGCCGTCGTGAGGGTCGACGTGTGGATGAGCGAATCCTCCGTCGTACTGCCATCGACGGCCGCGCGAGCTCTTCCGGCGGATCGACGAACAGTAGTGGAGGCGACGAAAAAAAGCTTCTCCGTCAATAATTTCGCAAAGCTGAGTCAGATAATCCGCGTCACGAATAGCGTCCGTAATAATGTCGATAGCTCTCTCGCCGACGAGATCTCTTCCATCATCCATGCATGATCTCCACGAAAATCTTCACGTAGTAACATCATTCGTCACCGTCAGGCGTCTCCGCGTGGTCATCTTCGTTAACGTCGCAAGTGTCTACGTCGTTCGTCAGTGTAGGCGTCGGTCGTTAGTAGTTGTTGGACGGACGGCATAATCCGACGCCGACGGTATCGAACGTCAACATCGGCGGGAACCACGGTCTGCTATAATAGGCGTCGGACGATAGTGGTTGTTGGAAGCGGTGTCGAACGTCAACATCGGCGGGAACCACGGTCTATGGTAGTAGGTGTCGGACGTTAGTAGTTGTCGAACGTCAACATCGGCGTCGGACGGACGGCATCGCAACGACGTCGTGGATGCATGCTGCGAGAAATCGATTGGTGCATGCTGCAGGCTCTGCGAGATTCCCTCTCCGAATAATGAAAGCCAAATGCAACTCCTCCTTCCTTACGAAAAATGCTGAATAGTATCGTCCTACGACGAACCCTAACCACGCGAACGGCGTCGTAGGACGAAGCATGACCGCGAGAAACGTCATCGTCGAAGGAAGCTTCAGATTGCTAGCGTGACACGAAATAATATCTCACGAAACAGCTGATGCGCGGCGAGAGCCTGACGTCTAATAATAATGATCGAAAAGGGAGTTGACGGGTCTCACGATGACTCCTAAGCTTAATGGTGAAAGTAACGACTTTATCGTCGGTGAACGATGATTCTAGCAGCCGGTCGCGTCCAGAAAACGATCTGACGGTCGTCTAGTTAAAGAGAGTGGAGCGTTCTGATTTGAAGCTTAAGCATATTTTCAAGCGATTGCTATTCTTGACGCACGTGTCATCACTGAAGAAGCGGCCATGAACGGACGGATCGAGTTAGCAAGCAAGCGCCTGAAAGAACTCGCGGAGCAGGACTAAGCAAGAGGGATTGTGGAATGTAAGGGAATGCAAGGTGAGTCGCCGTGCAGCAGATTCACTCACAGGGCTGAAGGAAAGCCCAAGCAGAGGTGTACTCGTCCATGGTGAGCCTGATCCAAGTTCGGCAATTCGGTTGAGTTTGTTTTCTCACGTTCCTAAGCGGTACCACGCATGAAAGATTCGGTCTATCAAGGTTAACTGAATGTGATGCCCTAGTCACCGGAGGTGAGGGGGAGGGGATGGGGGTAGAGAGCTGAAGGGAAGGACGTGAGGAAAGGGAAGCGAGGAGCCGAGTCGCCATGCAGCCAAGAAAGTCCCCAGTCCAGTGCAACCCCAAGGCGGGAGACGCCGCTGCTGCAGCAGACTCTGGTTGCGGGAGATTTGCGCTGACGAGGCGGGAAGCCTCGGAAAGTCTGCGGAGGTGAGGCGCTGAACGGCGGGGAGCTGCGAAAAGTGTCTGATGGCTGGCGAGAGAACTAGGAATCGTCGGAGTTTCGACAGTTACGTTACTCCGCTGTGCAAACGTGTTACCATGTTTTCGCGGGGGATCTGCTCCTGACATCTACGGCGTTGGATGGGGTGGTGATGGTGAGGTCAGGTTTGTTGACAAGAAGCAACGCTATTGGCCGCATCTCGTGAAAGTGTCAGACCAAGATTTGAAATATGAGTTGACCGTCACGTCAACCGTGCGGAGGGAAAACTCGATTTTAGCCGTCGTTGCCTCCTCGAGCACATAATCCACTTACGGTATTATGTGTGTCGATATACAAACTTTGCTATTGACTGCACACCTTTATTGATGACCATACCACTAACAGGTATGTTATGGTCCAAGATGGCTAAATATCATTCTTTGTCCTTCTCAAAGTCAGCAATATCTGTTACCGGTATAACACGTGTTTGAAGTTGGGAGCAATAAACAGGCAGAGTGCAATGCTACAGCCTTCCCTACTTCCTAGGCATGAATGTATCACAATCAAATTCCACTATATCACCCTGCTTCAGCAGGAAAACATGACTAGACACATTGTATCACAACCTAGACACAAGAAAACACTAGTTATTCACTGCGAGTGTGGAACCATGCGGTACTGAGACAGATACATCCTAGTCAGGCAGCAAGCCTTAGCTAACCCCCTCTGGAAGTGCAGCTTCCATGGGACAATCTTGACCGTGCTTTAAGCTGCACAGAAGAGGAAGTAAAACAGGGAAAGGGAACGGTGGGAAAGGATTGGCACACGAAGGGTGGAAACAGCAAGCCTGATGCAGGCAAGACACAAGAGTGAAGCAACATGGTCACTCAGCAAGGGGGTTATCAAAGCAGGGCAAGCCAGACTCACCCTTGGGGTCCCAGAGGATGGTAGTATCGGCGATCTTAGAGGTGACCACGTAGGGGTCCATGTTGCTGGCCGGCCGGCGGTCCTCAAAGTACCCCTTCTTCTGGGCCTCCGTGTCCCGCCCCACTCGCACTGAGCATCCACGGTTCGCCACACCCTGTCGAACAAAGGGATGATGGGACGAAACCAGTACGAGCAAGAGGAATGAGCCTAGAGCTGCTGCAGAGCCCGTTGTACAAAAGTACGTGGGTGCCATTCAGGTGCCTTGTTGCTCGGTACAAGTTCTTGCTTGGTGAGTCACACCTCCCAAATGCAATGGAGTTCACATCACTATGCTGGCCGCTCATGCTCATGCCATTCTCATGCACAGGTTACCATCACACGCCGTACCCATGAGAAGGTGTTGACGTCGGCAGTCTCGTGCTTGCCAGTGAGGCGCCGCTCGTTGCCCTCGCCATAGGCGGCGATGTGGTCCTTGTGTCGCAGGCCCAGCTTCTCAATGGCATTCAGGATCACGTCGTACCCGCCCTCCTCGCGCATCGCCTTGGTGCTGTAGTTCGTGTGGCACCCTGCCCCGTTCCAGTCGCCCTGTGCACGCCCAAGCAAATAGAAGCGCGCGTATAAAGTCAGTGAGGTGTCAAGACTCCACAACGGTTGGCCCATGAGAGAATCAATAAAGTATCTTGGGCGAATGATGGCAGGAAAGTGACGCAAGGAAACACAGAACCAAGCGCTTACCTGAATGGGCTTGGGATCGAGCGTCAGGACAACATCAGCCATCTCCGTCACTCTCTGCAAGAGCAGCATAGCACACAATGCGGCTCGTTAGACAACGCGTGGTCGAGGCAAGAACCAGGTAGTAAAGTAGAACCATAGAACGTAAGTACTTGGAACACGATCTCACTGCGTACCTCGAGCAGGTACCGTCCCATCCAGAGGTGATCGCCCGCCTCAATGCCCGTGCACGGACCGACTTGAAACTCCCACTGGCCGGGCATGACCTCCGCGTTGATGCCGCTGATCTTAACCCCCGCGTACAGGCACGCCTTGTAGTGCGCGTCAACGATGTCGCGCCCCCACGCCTTGTCCGCGCCCGTGCCGCAGTAGTACGGGCCCTGCGGAGCGGGGTACCCGCCCTTGGGCCACCCGAGCGGCCAGTTGGCATCCTTCTGCATCAAAGTGTACTCCTGCTCCAGTCCGAACCTGATGAAACGGAGGCAGAGGCAAAGCATCAGATGGAGCAATGAGCATAGTGATTGTGCGTGCAGTCCAGTTCCTGGTAATAATAGCGTCGCACTGCTGAGGCAAACGACTGACGGTTGTTGCAGAGATTGACGAGCGCTGCTCATGCGCCGACTCACCAGGCCTCGTGCTCCTTCACTTTCTCGAAAATTTCGGCAGCGACGGCGCGCTTGTTGGTGGGAATGGGCTGGCCCTGCGGCGTGTAGCAATCGCACATGACGAGAATGTTGTCTCCTCCTCGGAACGGGTCCCTGAAGATTGCCTGCGGGCTGCAAGCCAATGCGAGACGGAGAAAGAGGGTCAGCAGAGATACAAGCAGTCCACGAAGAGAATGGCTGATTCGAATACTGAAAAGGCTGAAATCCACAATGGCGGAGATTCTGTCGCATTTTTGACAGCTTGATCGAGCTATTTCGG